GCTCCTCAGCTCCATCTAGTGGCCATAATGTGGTATTACATCTGAACATTATATATAAGAAGGTCTTTCATTTGTTGCCTCGATTCGCACAGAGTGAACGTGGGCGGAGATTCACCCGGTGAATGGCTCGGTGAATGGTTAATGAGTGTATGCCTCTCATAGGAAGTGCAGGAAAGCTTTATTAAGGTTTTCATTGATTATTCTGGATCCGGTGACGCAGTGATAGAAGTTGCGCGCGGAGAAGCGGTTTGCGGTAGGTCGGGGGCCGCGCTCTTTTTGCAGCGACGCAGCGAAGTATCGCTCATCCTCGAGGTCTAGGAATAGCCATCCCGATGTGAGACGTGGAGCTCGCAGATCGCAGCCTCTGCTTGACTTTGCAGAGGAAGTTGCAGTTTCTCTTGGTGCCGGATCGCCGGGTGCGGGAATCCTGAACAAGAGAAAAGAAATGCGACGTTAAATCCCGCGCAACACCCAACGCATTCCCTCCGTGACTTCACAGGGTGAGGGGGCCGATCTGTGTCAGACGTTTGTGAACACAGCCAAGAACTTCACAGATACACGGTCATGTGACACTTTCCTGTATTTATTGCCTGTCGGAGAGATCACATGACTCCTCCCTAAAATACCATCATCTGTCTTTCTCTCCAGAAGGACGGCACCATCTTCAGGCATCATCCATCTATCCTGGACTGAGATGCCACAATCATGTAATTCCCAGTGTCTGTGTTCACAAATGTCTGACACAGATCAGCCCCCTGCTGCAGCCTCTCACCTTGTGACTGGATACAAAGTTACTCCACACTGATCACTGGGGGAGGGGAGACTGAGGAAATACTTCCTCCTGCCTGCAGCAGATTGATCACTGGGGGGGGGGAGGCTGAGGAAATGCTTCCTCCGGCCTGCAGCAGACTGATCACTCGAGGGGAGACTGAGGAAATACTTCCTCCTGCCTGCAGCAGATTGATCACTGGGGGGGGGGAGGCTGAGGAAATGCTTCCTCCGGCCTGCAGCAGACTGATCACTCGAGGGGAGACTGAGGAAATACTTCCTCCTGCCTGCAGCAGATTGATCACTGGGGGGGGGGAGGCTGAGGAAATGCTTCCTCCGGCCTGCAGCAGACTGATCACTCGAGGGGAGACTGAGGAAATACTTCCTCCTGCCTGCAGCAGATTGATCACTGGGGGGGGGGAGGCTGAGGAAATGCTTCCTCCGGCCTGCAGCAGACTGATCACTCGAGGGGAGACTGAGGAAATACTTCCTCCTGCCTGCAGCAGATTGATCACTGGGGGGGGGGAGGCTGAGGAAATGCTTCCTCCGGCCTGCAGCAGACTGATCACTCGAGGGGAGACTGAGGAAATACTTCCTCCTGCCTGCAGCAGATTGATCACTGGGGGGGGGGAGGCTGAGGAAATGCTTCCTCCGGCCTGCAGCAGACTGATCACTCGAGGGGAGACTGAGGAAATACTTCCTCCTGCCTGCAGCAGATTGATCACTGGGGGGGGGGAGGCTGAGGAAATGCTTCCTCCGGCCTGCAGCAGACTGATCACTCGAGGGGAGACTGAGGAAATACTTCCTCCTGCCTGCAGCAGATTGATCACTGGGGGGGGGGAGGCTGAGGAAATGCTTCCTCCGGCCTGCAGCAGACTGATCACTCGAGGGGAGACTGAGGAAATACTTCCTCCTGCCTGCAGCAGATTGATCACTGGGGGGGGGGAGGCTGAGGAAATGCTTCCTCCGGCCTGCAGCAGACTGATCACTCGAGGGGAGACTGAGGAAATACTTCCTCCTGCCTGCAGCAGATTGATCACTGGGGGGGGGGAGGCTGAGGAAATGCTTCCTCCGGCCTGCAGCAGACTGATCACTCGAGGGGAGACTGAGGAAATACTTCCTCCTGCCTGCAGCAGATTGATCACTGGGGGGGGGGAGGCTGAGGAAATGCTTCCTCCGGCCTGCAGCAGACTGATCACTCGAGGGGAGACTGAGGAAATACTTCCTCCTGCCTGCAGCAGATTGATCACTGGGGGGGGGGAGGCTGAGGAAATGCTTCCTCCGGCCTGCAGCAGACTGATCACTCGAGGGGAGACTGAGGAAATACTTCCTCCTGCCTGCAGCAGATTGATCACTGGGGGGGGGGAGGCTGAGGAAATGCTTCCTCCGGCCTGCAGCAGACTGATCACTCGAGGGGAGACTGAGGAAATACTTCCTCCTGCCTGCAGCAGATTGATCACTGGGGGGGGGGAGGCTGAGGAAATGCTTCCTCCGGCCTGCAGCAGACTGATCACTCGAGGGGAGACTGAGGAAATACTTCCTCCTGCCTGCAGCAGATTGATCACTGGGGGGGGGGAGGCTGAGGAAATGCTTCCTCCGGCCTGCAGCAGACTGATCACTCGAGGGGAGACTGAGGAAATACTTCCTCCTGCCTGCAGCAGATTGATCACTGGGGGGGGGGAGGCTGAGGAAATGCTTCCTCCGGCCTGCAGCAGACTGATCACTCGAGGGGAGACTGAGGAAATACTTCCTCCTGCCTGCAGCAGATTGATCACTGGGGGGGGGGAGGCTGAGGAAATGCTTCCTCCGGCCTGCAGCAGACTGATCACTCGAGGGGAGACTGAGGAAATACTTCCTCCTGCCTGCAGCAGATTGATCACTGGGGGGGGGGAGGCTGAGGAAATGCTTCCTCCGGCCTGCAGCAGACTGATCACTCGAGGGGAGACTGAGGAAATACTTCCTCCTGCCTGCAGCAGATTGATCACTGGGGGGGGGGAGGCTGAGGAAATGCTTCCTCCGGCCTGCAGCAGACTGATCACTCGAGGGGAGACTGAGGAAATACTTCCTCCTGCCTGCAGCAGATTGATCACTGGGGGGGGGGAGGCTGAGGAAATGCTTCCTCCGGCCTGCAGCAGACTGATCACTCGAGGGGAGACTGAGGAAATACTTCCTCCTGCCTGCAGCAGATTGATCACTGGGGGGGGGGAGGCTGAGGAAATGCTTCCTCCGGCCTGCAGCAGACTGATCACTCGAGGGGAGACTGAGGAAATACTTCCTCCTGCCTGCAGCAGATTGATCACTGGGGGGGGGGAGGCTGAGGAAATGCTTCCTCCGGCCTGCAGCAGACTGATCACTCGAGGGGAGACTGAGGAAATACTTCCTCCTGCCTGCAGCAGATTGATCACTGGGGGGGGGGAGGCTGAGGAAATGCTTCCTCCGGCCTGCAGCAGACTGATCACTCGAGGGGAGACTGAGGAAATACTTCCTCCTGCCTGCAGCAGATTGATCACTGGGGGGGGGGAGGCTGAGGAAATGCTTCCTCCGGCCTGCAGCAGACTGATCACTCGAGGGGAGACTGAGGAAATACTTCCTCCTGCCTGCAGCAGATTGATCACTGGGGGGGGGGAGGCTGAGGAAATGCTTCCTCCGGCCTGCAGCAGACTGATCACTCGAGGGGAGACTGAGGAAATACTTCCTCCTGCCTGCAGCAGACTGATCACCGGGGGAGGGGAGACGGATGAAATGCTTCCTCCTGCCTGCAGCAGACTGATGGGGTGTTTATGATAAAAGCTGCAGCCGCCGTCGTACGTTACCTTGGACAGGCTGACGCACTTCACATCCTCTTCCTCCCGGTACAGAGCGCAGACCTTCACTTCCTGTAACATGGAATACAGAGAACCTGTCAACCTATCAGAACTACCGATCCATAGCAACAGAAAAAAAGGGGCGGAGACTGCAGGAGAGCGACGTTTAAACCCTCTGAATGCATTTCAGGTGTGTAAAAGCATAAGGAGGAGCCTTGCGCTCTGTGTGGAAGCAGTGGTCTCTCTGCAGAGGAGGAGCCTTGCTCTGTGTGTGGAAGCAGTGGTCTCTCTGCAGAGGAGGAGCCTTGCTCTCTGTGTGGAAGCAGTGGTCTCTCTGCAGAGGAGGAGCCTTGCTCCGTGTGTGGAAGCAGTGGTCTCTCTGCAGAGGAGGAGCCTTGCTCTGTGTGTGGAAGCAGTGGTCTCTCTGCAGAGGAGGAGCACGGCTCTGTGTGTGGAAGCAGTGGTCTCTCTGCAGAGGAGGAACCTTGCTCTGTGTGTGGAAGCAGTGGTCTCTCTGCAGAGGAGGATCCTTGCTCTGTGTGTGGAAGCAGTGGTCTCTCTGCAGAGGAGGAGCCTTGCTCTCTATATGGAAGCAGTGGTCTCTCTGCAGAGGAGGAGCCTTGCTCTGTGTGTGGAAGCAGTGGCCTCTCTGCAGAGGAGGAGCCTTGCTCTCTATATGGAAGCAGTGGTCTCTCTGTAGAGGAGGAACCTTGCTCTGTGTGGAAGCAGTGGCCTCTCTGCAGAGGAGGAACCTTGCTCTGTGTGGAAGCAGTGGCCTCTCTGCAGAGGAGGAACCTTGCTCTGTGTGGAAGCAGTGGCCTCTCTGCAGAGGAGGAACCTTGCTCTGTGTGGAAGCAGTGGCCTCTCTGCAGAGGAGGAACCTTGCTCTGTGTGGAAGCAGTGGCCTCTCTGCAGAGGAGGAGCCTTGCTCT